CATTTGGTCGGATATAGAAGCTATATCTAAATCTGAACCGAATTCAGGAAAATTAACACACATCATTCTAGACCTAATTCATTGTGCTGTGCCAAATTTCGTGCAAATCGAAAGATAAATACAGACTCTGAGCTATATCTAAATCGGAACCGATTTTCAGGAAATTTTACACACATCATTCTAGACTCAATTCAGTACGCTGTGCCAAATTTCGTGCAAATCGGAAGATATATAGGGACATTGGTTCGCCATTTACATGAAATCGGACGAAAATATATATGGGAGCTATATCTAAATCTGAACCGATTTTCAAGAAATTTTACACACATCATTTTAGACTCAATTTAGTACGCTATGCCAATTTTCGTGCAAATCGGAAGATATATAGGGACTTTGGTTCAATAGGGTTCGTCCTTGCGCCAAATAGACTAGCTGTGCCAAATTTCATGCAATTCGGATCATAAATGCGACCTGTACTTTGTTTACAATTTAACATGGACAGACGGACGGACGGACATGCATAAATCGACTTAGAACCAATGGAATCGGGGTTTTAAGAAGAGTTGTTTGATTTGCTATTGGCTATCTTCTTGTCATATATTGTTTGGTCGAGTCAGTAGCAGTTTCTGAAATAAGTGTGAAAAAACATGGAAAAAGTATGTCGAAATTTAATTTTTTTTGCAGTTGTGATATTTTCAGTATGATGGTGATGTTTTATTGATTTTATCTCAAGAACAAATTTTTAGTTCAAATTAAGAGGAAGAATATTGCTTAAGAGAGAAAAGCAATATTTCGAATAGTTCACGAGATATAGACTCAATAATAAGTACGTATTATTCGAAAATTTTTAAAATCCACCTCCAGTCGAATATTTTAAAAATTAATTTAAAAGAAAACCTTAGCTAATAATGCAAAACCCAGCTAGGGATTTTCTTCCACCATCACAAGCTTCAAGATTTTGGGGGTCTCGATTGGTTCAAGATTTTAGTGCTGCACAGTGTTATAAATGCGGTATTAACATGAAACCCCTGGGCAACTCGTAAAAATAAATATACTCTTATTGGATATCAAAATCGCAGATGAACTCAAATCAGATAGACATGCATAGATATGTAAATGTAATCGTTCTGTTTTTGTTTTATTATTGCAGCCATTTCTGATGACATTGGTGACGTTGGCTCATGGTGCCCGCTTAGACAATCGATATTTACCGCCGCCACCCAATGCAGCTACTGCCGGCGGTGGTCCTGGACTGCAAGGTCCTGGAGGTGGTGGTGGAGGACCAGGAGGTTTTGGTGGTGGCGGCGGTTCTGGTGGGGGAGGAGGTGCTGGCGGCGGTGGTGGTGGAGGTTTTGGTGGCGGAGGTGGTAATAATGGTCTGGGAGGATTCTCTGGTGCTGGTGGTCCAGGGCGACCATTTGGTCCAACTAGTCCTGGTGGAGGTGGTGCACGGCCTAGCGCACCATCTGGCCCTTCTGCCCCAGCTGGTCCAGTCATTCCGATTCTGTCTTTTGTCAATGAAAATGACGGCGATGGCAACTATCGCTTTAGCTATGAAACTGGAAACGGCATTAAGGCCGAAGAGGAAGGTACAGTTAAAAATAAAGGCTCTGACAATGAAATACCATCTGTGATGGGTACATATTCGTATACCGCACCTGATGGCCAGGTGATTGAAGTTGCCTACACCGCCGATGAAAATGGCTTCCAGCCACAAGGAGATTTATTGCCTACTCCTCCACCGATACCGGAAGCAATTGCCAAAGCTTTAGCTGCCCAAGGAATTCAGCCAGCACCAGGTGGTGGTTACATTGGAGGAACTGGTACTGGTGGTGGTTCTGGAGCAGGTGGAGGACGTGGCGGTGGAGCCGGAAGTAAGTATATTGAATCGGAATATCGTACAAGTTTAATACGCTTTATAATTTGTTAAAGGTTTTGGTGGAGCCGGTGGCGGTGCAGGAGCCGGAGGATATGGTGGTGGATCAGGAGGTGGTGCTGGCAGAGGTGGCGGTGCTGGTGGTGGAGTTGCAGGTGGTTTCGGTGGTGGTACCGGTGCTGGCGGTGCCGGAGGTTTTGGTGGTGGAGCTGGGGCAGGTGGCAGTGCCGGAAGAGGTGGTGGGGCAGGAGCTGGCGGAGCCGGTGGTTTCGGAGGTGGAGCTGGGGCAGGTGGAGGTGCCGGAAGAGGTGGTGGAGCAGGAGCTGGCGGAGCCGGTGGTTTCGGTGGTGGCGCTGGAGCTGGTAGAGGAGGTGGTGCAGGCGCCGGTGGTGCAGGTGGTTTCGGTGGTGGTGCCGGAGCTGGCGGTGCCGGAGGTTTTGGTGGTGGAGCTGGGGCAGGTGGAGGTGCCGGAAGAGGTGGTGGAGCAGGAGCTGGTGGTTTCGGAGGTGGCGCTGGAGCTGGTAGAGGAGGTGGTGCAGGCGCTGGCGGAGGTGCCGGAAGAGGTGGTGGAGCCGGTGGTTTTGGTGGTGGCGCAGGCGCTGGTGGAGCCGGTGGCTTCGGAGGTGGTGCAGGTGCTGGTGGAGGTTCTGGTAGAGGTGGTGGCGCTGGGGCTGGTGGTGCCGGTGGCTATGGAGGTGGAGCTGGTGTCGGTGGTTTTGGAGGTGGTGCTGGTGGCGCCGGTGGTTTTGGAGGTGGCGCAGGAGCTGGTGGAGGAGCTGGTAGAGGTGGTGCCGCAGGAGGAGGTGCTGGTGGCTATGGAGGTGGATCTGGTGCCGGTGGTTTTGGTGGTGGCACTGGTGCCGGTGGGGGTGCTGGCAGAGGTGGTGGCGCTGGAGCTGGTGGAGCCGGTGGCTTCGGAGGTGGTGCTGGAGGTGGAGGAGGTGCTGGCAGAGGCGGTGGCTCGGGTGGTGGAGCTGGCGGGGCTGGTGGAGCCGTTGGCTTCGGAGGTGGAGGTGGAGCAGGTGGTGGCGCCGGCAGAGGAGGTGGCGCAGGAACTGGTGGAGGTGCTGGTAAAGGCGGGGGTGCTGGAGGATTTGGAGGTGGCGCTGGAGCTGGTGGAGCCGGTGGTTTCGGAGGTGGCTCTGGTGCAGGTAAAGGCGGTGGTGCTGGTGGATATGGTGGTGGCGCTGGAGCTGGTGGTGGTGCTGGCAAAGGAGGTGGTTTTGGAGGAGGAGCAGGTGGAGGTGCTGGAAGAGGAGGTGGAGCCGGAGCAGGTGGCGCTGGAGGCGGCGGTGGTTTTGGTGGCGGTGCAGGTGGTACAAGTGGCAAAGGAGGTGGATCAGGTGCTGGTGGCGCCGGAGGTTATGGCGGCAGTGCCGGAGCAAGTGGGGGAGCCGGTGCAGGAGGTGGTTTTGGCGGTGCCGGCGGCAGAGGAGGAGGAACTGGTGCAGGAGGCGCTGGCGGTTTTGGTGGTGGAGCAGGTGCTGGTGGTAAAGGAGGAGCAGGTGGTTATGGTGGTGGTTCTGGAGGTGGGTCTGGTGCCGGTGGAGCAGGGGGATATGGTGGTGGTGCTGGAGGTGGGTCTGGTGCCGGTGGAGCAGGGGGATATGGTGGTGGAGCAGGGGCTGGTCGAGGTGGTGCTGGTGGTTTTGGCGCCGGTGGTGGTGCTGGAGGTGCCGGCGGTAGGGGCGGTGGAGCTGGTGGCGCTGGCGGCTTTGGTGGTGCCGGAGGATTTGGTGGCGGCGCTGGAGCCGGTGGTGGTGGAGCAGGAGGATATGGTGGTGGAGCAGGAGCAGGCGGTGGTCGTGGTGGTGCTGGAGGTTTTGGAGCCGGTGGTGGAGGTGGTAAAGGTGGTGCCGGAGGTTTTGGTGGTGGCGGCGGTTCAGGCCCTGCACCTGGCTTACCTGGTCGTGGTCATCCCAGTGGAGATTTTAATCCTCAAACTGGTTACAACTATTAAATCTCTATCACTCGTTAAGCCTCAGTACATAATGCAACGATATCTGCCACAAATACTCGTAGCATCTAAGCCTACACTAATATCTATATTTTAACACACGCCCATCTGATACACACTCTTTCCAAATTATCTTCCTGTCATACCTCCTACAATAATACACCGCTTAAGTGTTAATTAATTTAAGTAACTTCATCTCAACGAATCGTGAGCCTACCGTCCATTTAAGATTTTTATAATTTGTTTGTGTTTAATGTCAATCTTAGTGAAATAAGTTATCGTTGTTAAATTCTGTTGTTTGTTTGTCGTGAGAATATGGCTAGTGAGCGATTTCCAAATTTCGTTAAAATTGTCGAAAGCACAAAAGCAGCATTTGCCAAATTTTATGTAAATATAATTAAGTTCGAATGTAAATCAAATGCAAGTGAATAATAAAAAAATGTATTTAACAATATCGAGTCGAATAATTTAATACGACGTAGTAGTCAAAATAAAGTAGTATTGCATAAATTTTTAAAAAATGATAATTCCTAAAAAAGTGGAAATTTTTGGATAACCACATACTTTAGGAGTAATTGGAACACAATATTCTATATCCGCAGAAATTCAATGCAAATAAAAAGAGTATAAAAAATATAGTATAAAATTGTCTTGATGTGGTTAACATTATTCGACGTGTTTTTTCATTATTTTAGCGGATCATAAGTCATATTGGAATGTGATTTTTCAAAGGTCATTACGGTGATAATTTGAATTTGTATCGTAGTTATTGGGAAGTTGTAAATTCCAACATATCTAGTATCGACATGTGTCATCCCTCCATACCAGAAATAGTGTCGACTATATATGGACCTCTGAAAACAAGAAATGTCATACTCCAAAAAATGTGGTCTGATGTATTTTATTTTCGATTTCAAACATCCTTGGAATGCAAAATGTCAAATCTCAATCCGAACTTTCACTATTCAACTCGAAAATTATTCTATCTCTATTCTACTACCAAATACTAAATGTGCTAATTTTGGAATTATTTTCTAAAAAGCCAAGTTTTTATACCTTACACAACTATGTTGTCAGGGTATTATAGCTTTGTGCAACCCCAAAAGTTTGTAACGCCGCGAAATATTGGTCCTAGACCCACCTTTAAGTATACCGATCGTCATATCTCGACTAGCTGAGTTGATCTAGACATGTGTGTGTCCGTCCGTCTGTCCATTATAATTTGTAAACACGATACAGGCCACAGTTATGGACCAATCTTCACGAAATTTTGCATGTAGGATGGGATCTGGCCAATGAAGACCCCTATTGTTTTTGGGAAAGATCGGTTAATATTTAGGGGATGAAATGGACCAAATACTAAATTTTTGTCCGTTTTTCTGGTCGCTCCAGAGGCCGCAATAATGGCCCGAACATCGTGAAATTTTCCAGGCCAAAGAATAAGCATGCCTGTTTTCATAATGATCGGTCAATATTTAGCGGGTCAAATGGACCCTGACTTTTGGGTGAAAAATGACAAAATTTGTATTCAGAAGGACATAGACCCGAGAAGTTTATATTATATCCAAGAGGAGTGGTTGACCTTTAAATTAATATATTTTTGTATGTGCTCGAATGTAGGAGTTACACCTAAATATTTACAGTTATCTCCGTATTCGTATATTATTTAGTAACCCATTATCACTCTACAGAGCGGAACTATAGCGCTGATCGCTTTGAAATGTTCCATGAGGTTCCAGTTATGGTCAAGGACAACGCCTATAATTTTCGGTGATGACCAGATAATAATTTTGGAATGAAGTGGGCCGAAAACTTAATTTTTTTTTTGTGTTATTTTTGAGTCGATCTATAGACCACAAATGAAAGCCGGACATCACAACACAACCCACGGTGAAGGGAATCTGGACAATAGCTGTACTGAATACTCGTAATATTCGGAAAATATGTCAGTGTAAGGAATATGTGCTGTTTACCTCTAATCTGGTGAGAGGGTGCAAATATCATGAAATATAGCCCAGGCTCGGAATATACATCCGCAGAAAATTTGAGTTCCGTGGTAGTTGTGTAGGGTATCGTATGGTCGGTCCCGTCCGACTATACTGCTGCGCTCACTGGTTACAATTGTATTTGGTAAAGGAACTAGAATTTAACATTTTGACGATTTGTTTTTTGCAATTTGTATTTGGTAAATATTCTAACCAAATACAAATTGCAAAAAAATCATCAAAATCTTTGATTCTAGTTTCACTTGTCCATTTAGATCTTTCCGACACTTCTAGAACACATTTCTAAAACCACTTTCTCAATGCTAGAACAATATTTTTTTCCTTTTATTCAATACCGAATATAGTAATTTTATTACCATTTGATATATTTCGTACACGAATAATGGAAAACAAGTTAATGTGATATACAAATTCGTATTAAAAGTGTACGAAAAAAATTCGAATGCATAAACATTTTTTTTCCTAAAAATGGTCGCGTTCTTCATAGGGTGACTAGCCATTGTCTTGTTGTTGTTTATTTGGCAAATAAGAAGTCAAAATACAGACAATAAGGTTGGAAATCTGGGCTATGAAATTAAGCGGGGTATTTGTATGGAAGTGTAAAAATCATGAATCTATATTGTAAACTTTCTGGAAAGAAGTTTTTTATTCACTGGGAATACGGAATGGCAAACTATAACCACTTCAAAATATTGAAAATGTTTCGCGTCCCACTTTATGTCAAAAAATGGATGTATTTATACCCTTCACCACATTGTTGTACTGGGTAGTATGTCTTTGTGCATTTGTAACAGGCAAAAAGAAACGAGATGTACATATGGTTCCTTTTGAAAATATGCATAGAATCACTTTTTGAGTCGATGCATGTCCGACCGTCTGTCCACGTTAAATTGTAATGAAAGTACTGGTCCGAATTGGATGAAATTTGGCACAGCTCATTTGTTTGGACTGAACCTTATTTAAATTGGGAAAATCGGTTCAGATTTAGATATAGCTCTTCATGTTAAGTGGGCTCCAAATAACCAACGGATGTCCGATTGAGTTTAGCTTTATTGACATAATTTTGTCCCATAGTAAACAAACGACTCTATATCTTCCAAATTAAAAAAAATGTAGTATAGGTTACAGAATGGGATTTTAAATTTTATTTTAGTTGATCCAGTTTCATGTTAATGGCCCTTCAAAAATGCGACGTCTGTAGGAAAATTAGGTTGAAAAACGGGCCCAAAAGCTTTAAAATATCGGATGGGGCCGTTATATGGGCTACCCTAAAAAGGATTGATAGGGAAATTAAAATTTTTTTTTTTAATTGCTTGAAATTAAGGGATGCAAGCTTATAACTCGCGAAATATGAACATATTGCATATAATTTAAATTCATTTTTATAAAATGAAGTTTTCTTGTCAAAATATTGGTAATAGATAATAAGTTTGGTGGAAGATGTGATGGTTGTGATGTGAAAGCTTCTTTCCAATTGGATTCCAAAGTCGAAAATTTGGTGCGTAAATTTTTATAAAAAACCCTATGTTTTGAGTCTACATTTCAGAAGGTCCACTCAAATGCCGTTTTTTTACGTGCCGAATCTAATGAGCCCAGCCTTGTTCAATTCCGTCCAATAAAAGATACGTGCCGAATTTAATGAGCCCAGCCTTGTTCAATTTCGTCCAATAAAAGGGCGGATATAGATCCCTTGAATGTTGAAAAAACTGCAAGAATCTATTTTGACTAATTGGCGTATATAATCGCGTTTTTTGTTTTTTTACCTACATTAATGCTTGTATTATCATATTCGCGAAACTGTGTGAAAATAAGCCAAAAATACATCGATACGCGGTTCTTAACCAATTCTTTCAAAATAGGTGTACTTTTGTGTATTTTCATAGGAGATTACTGAAATCTAATCCGCATAAAAATCATATGCACTTTCCGTCATTTTTATGGTGTTTGCATAGTAAAGTGCATCGAGCGGCACACTTTGGCCGCTAAATGAAACATCAAAAAATGCATAATTATTGGAAGTGATTGATTCGGTTTATACAAAAACCGCATGCGCAAAAACCGATTTTTTATTATTTAAAGATTAAGGCAAAACCGTACTCCCTTAACCATACTAAAAAATCGAAAATTCAAATAAACGTTCTTAATTCTCGTCTTAATTAAAAAATAATTTATTTTATTTACAGATATATTGATGCTTCTATTTGTTTTTCGCGACTATTATACCGTATTTCAATGTGATTGGACAAGTATGCAAAGAAAACAAAGGTGTTTATTCATTTGTGAAGAAATTCGCGATTTACAAAAAAATAGGAATTCATTTAAGGGGACCCCCCCCATTCTCGGTGTCAAAAAATTTTTTGATTTAATTCGAATCTACTCTAATTCTAGAATGTTCCTACAAAATTTCAAGTGAAAATCTCAAGAACTCTTGAAGATATAGCCGATTTATTGTGTCAGCATCAAGTGACGGCTAAAGGGCTTCTCAAACTTTAAACGCGTTTTTCTCTTTTGCGAATGGCGGGCACGATAACTCAGAAACTAATAATCCAATCAGTTTCAAATTTTGACACGTTTCTCTAGGAGTGTGTAGCTCTCGTATGAACTAGGATAAAGCCAATCGGTGAACATCTTTCTTATTTTTTAACTTAGTTTGTGGTAAAAAATAGGCGATTTTCCAAAAAAAAAAAAAAAAAAATTTTCAAAGTTCCGCCATTTTGGGAATTGTTGTGCGAAGTCAATAATCCTAGTTGATACGAGAGCTAGACATGTACTCTTTTAACATAGTTGGAATTTTATCCGATTTCCAGTGAGGAATCATGCCCGCCATCGAAAATATGGACTTTTCTTTGAACCCAAAAAACAACAACAAAACAACAACAACAAATTTTGGTAAATTATTTTTCTTCCTTTTTACATCTTCAAATATATATGTGCCAAGTTACAAACCTTAACAAGCATTGGTATTCATTTACCAGCCCATTTAAAATCTTAAAAATAAAAAATCGAGAATGGGGGGGTTCCCTTAATTTATATTTCAAATACAAGATTTAAACCCGCTATAAA